AAAATTATCCAGCAAAAAGGATGAACTTAACATCACATTAACATCAGAAATGGAATGTTTCAATTGCACATCCCCTAGCACTAATCAAAACTGACACCATGAAGCTATTAGTCTTAATCTCCAAACAGGTGTTGAAATAAAAAGATAAAATAAACATTAAAAAAATATGGAACTGCTTTATCTTGCTTGCATCTCCGTAAATTTCCATAGATGAGGCAGGACTATTGCTTACAAGAAATTTACATGCCACTCCTTGGATTTTACATGACATACTAAAATTTGATTTCTAATCAGGCTACAGTTCAAAAAACAATTTAGTAAGAGAATTTGGATTAAGCAGCTCAGCTGCCCAATCCTAAATAGGTATACTAAGAAGTATCAGTATATGTTTGCTGGAAAAAAAAAAATCCTAGAGATTTCTACTAAATATAAAGGTATGCTTGGGATTATAGCCTTAGTTCTACTGAATTAAAGGACTTGATAGAAAGTAAGACTTCAAATTAATTTCCAGTTCTACTAAAATCAGTTTGATACTTTCAGGAAATCTCTCTCTCTGTCTCTCTCTGCCTCTTAGATGCAGGTCCTCTTAATTGTACACCCATAGGATTAAGTTTATGTTTAATCCTAAAAAATGTATTCCACAGCTATACAATATAACTAATAGAAAGTATAAAATAGAAGGGATTAACACAGGATGATGTAAGATTGATAATTCTAAACTAGGTCTCAGTGATGTCTATTTCCTAATAATTATGTTTATCACAGCTGCATTAGATGTTGTATATATACTTCTTCCATGTATACTATTTTTTCCCCCTTTTGTCAAGTAATGGTTTGACATTGTGGATATACAGAGAATTTACTTGCTTATCTTTTTGTATTTCAGAGTTTCATCTACTTTATTTATGAGTTACAAAAGACCTTTTCCAAGTAATAGTCATCTGCATATATTATGGCAAGGAATACACTTGGGTCTTTCTTAAATTATAAGCTTGACAGGGCATGGCAGAGAGTGTCATTCCAAAGGTTTGGTGAATGTTTCATGCACTGTAGGTGCCATCAGAATAATAATAATAAAAACACCACCATCCTAATAAATAATTGGTGAATGTTAGAGATAAGCAACAGTCATTAGCATGAGTTTTCCAGCAAGCCAACAAGCAATTTATCTCAACATCAGTCATCTACATTCTCCTAGCTGAATCACCATCTCTTGAAACAGCTGGTGTCTTTTGCAGTAATGTGTATGGGTGAGTTTGTCTTTGCTTGAGTTCAGATGTTATCACTGTTTAAACAAGTGAAAAATGAAAATAATTTTCTCTTGCTCAAATATAAGTCAGGTCCCACCTGACATAAGCTCACGAAACTGCTGGCATGTAGAAAAGAAATCCAGAATTAAGCCAACTGAATGTATAATTAATGAACTAAAATAGAAGTGGTGTACTTGGTTATCTATAGGAAAACTAAAAATTTGACTATGATTGTCAGAGTATTGACTGGTAAAATGAATGCTACAGCAGAACAAGTGAGAATCCAGTTGTAAAGCTGCTTGACGCATGACGTTTAGACTGTTCTATCTTGCAGACATGTTGTGAAATAAAACAGATCCATGAGAACCCATCTTGACTCCTTAGGAGAAAGAGTTGGATAAAAATGTAATAAATAAATGAATAACCTGGTTTGGCATGGACGAGTTTGGAATTGTATCAACATTTTAATGGGTCATACCATATGTAAACGTGGGAGGAAATATTTATACTTACATCAATATATATTTTTCAGCATGAAAATGTTAGTGTTTAGCTTGCCCCATCCCCATGGAGCTGTTTTCTTTCTGATTGGAATATGATTATGGAGAAAGTTTAAGGCATAGAAGGATGCAAGGGAGCAGCGTACTATTACTGTATGAAATCCAAGATGTCCACTGTAAAGGAAAGCTATGTAGAGCAGAAACATATGCTTAACTAATTCTTGCTATAAGATAAAGTGTTTGCAGTGTTTAAAGCACTTCTACCTATATTATTTAACATTTTGAATCACCAACAAGTTTGTAGGAGATTCTTTTGCAGATTATGAGTGGATAAAGAATACAAAGCATAAAATAGCTACTACACTCAGATTTGCAGTGGGGAAGATATCAACATGTGTACTGAAAAAAGTGTTTTTTAGTCTGTGATGTACAGCTTGTAAAATAACAATGAATTATGAAGCTATGATTTTAAAAAGGGATATTCCATGTTAAGAATTAATGGGAAATGAACTGAATATAAACCTGCCAATACTGTAATGCATATGCGCGCACACACACACACACACGCACACACATATACACACACACACACATATGTGTGTGTGTGTGTGTATAATGATGCAACTATGCTGGAATATCTTGAACAGTTTTTTCGGTCATTGTATTTTAGAAAGAATTGGAAAAGACTGAGAAAAGTAACCTACTAATCAATGGGCTGGAGCAACTCCCTCAGGAGGAAAAATTATAATAATTGGGCACTCCTTTTTTCAGAGAAAAAGTTAATAAAGGGGACAAAATAGCAGCGAATACAATTAAGCCCAAGACTGAGAAAGTAAAAGGAGAGAGATTTCCTTTTTCCTCCTCTCTTAATAGTAAAAACTGGGGTGACCTAATGAATCTCCATAGTGGGAAGTTCAGGACAAATAAAATGAAGTACTACTGCACAAAGGACAGAGTCAAAGTGGAATTCACTATTGCAAAATGTAATCATGACACCCAGTTTGAGGGCATAAGAAGGAGATTTGATGAATGGAGGAAAAATGTTATTGATAGCTGTAAGTCATGGTGGCTATAGATCAGTGTTTCTCAACCTTAGCAACTTTAAGATGTGTGGACTTTCAATCCCGGGTTTCCCCCCCCCCCCACATTTTTTGGGGGTTTTTTGGGTTGGTGGTTCCACAACATTTAAATGTT